TCACAGAGTCTTTAAAAACAACAATCAGAAACCTCAATAAAGCCGGGGAAGAAGGATCAGACTGCTCAGGACACTGCTTCCCAATGAGTAGTGTCCTGTGCGCTGCCCACAGGCCGGGCCGGCGAGTGGCGGGCAGCAAAGGACACACGGGGACCCTCAGCAGTGTCACCGGACAGCTTCCCGCACAGCGGCGGTTCTCCCAGTGCAGCCTGCGATCGGCCACACTAGGGTGTCAGGCTTTTCTGATCAGAATGGCGACACTAACAAAGCTGCTCTCCTCCGTATTACATAATCAAATGTGTCAACACTTGGAAGATCGGCCTCGCTCAAGGGCTCAATATGTTCTAAGTGACCTGTGCACGTTACAAAATCGCACGTGGATCAAAGAGCCATTCTGACTGCAAGACGGACCAGTGGATTTTATGGTAACAGAGCACAAAAAATTCACCCCACGGCTTCAGTTCCATACTGTAACTAACCTCCCAGGACACTGCCATTAGTCAGTTTGTGACAGAACTAAAGAAGAATACCCACAATTCTCTGGAAAGGCTATTAAAACACTCCTCCGTCTCTAACCACAGGCTGGAGTTTCCTCATGTCTTCCAAGCAAAACAATGTAATTGCGACAGACTGCGGGCCGTCTTCCCCAAGCCAGGTATGAAAGAGACTCGCAAGCATGTAAAGCAATGCCACTCTTTCTACTTGTTTTGAGAATAGTTATTTTCATAAAAATGTTATTTATGTTAACATATAACAGGTTTATTATTATTAAAAATAAATTTAACAAATATTTTTTACTTTCTCGGGTATGATTTCTAACAGGGTGCACTGAGCAGGTAGAACTCGTACAGAAAACAGCACTTCGGGTCCCCACTTTAGGAGTGTGAAGGGGTCCTGAGACCAGACAGTTTGAGCTACTGCTGGAGAGTACCTATCAGCAGTCAGTCTTGGGTCCGAGGGACAGAGCCACTCAGCTAATAGTTGCTGAATTCCTACCCCACGCTCGGCGTGAAGGCTACGAATAAGAAAATGGAAGGGCCGTGCCACCTCGGGGGGCAGACCAGCCGGGCAGGCAGGCACGAGGCCAACGTGCAGGGGGAAAGGCGGGCTGGCGGCGGGAGCTCAGTCTGCAGTTGAGCTCCGCCAGGAGTTAGCCTGTGGTCCCGCCCTGCTGACTGTGGCTCTTGGAGTGGTTTCCTCCACTGACTGGGGTGAGAACACAGCTCAGGGGACTCGTGGAGGATTAAATGAAGTAAGAAACGGGAGGGTGGGGCTGGACCTGATCATCTCACAGCGGCAGGGCTGGGTAAGGGGTGAGTTGTGCGCCACTGGAAGCGCTGACCTCTGTCCAGCTGATTAGGGAGGGCGTCACCTTGTTCCTACAAACCCTCAAGGAATTAGGAACAACAGTGGCTTCTTTTCTTAGTAGAAGAGACAAGAGAATGAAAAAGTGGACGTTCCAGTACAAATAAAGGCCATGGCTCTTTCATCACGAAGGAGAGGCTCATGAAACATTAGAAAAGTCCTTGAAAGAAAATGTTACTAACAATTGAGATAACAGGATGATGATGGAGAACACACGCTGACTAAAAATGCAATGATGAACATCATTTCCCCAAACACCAAGCCAGCGGTGCTTCTGAACATAATTTTACCTGGTCTAGGTCCAGAGAGGAATAGACAATTCTCCCTCTGTCGTCTCCAGAGAACAGTTTCATCCCATTGGGGCTCCATGCCAGGGCTGTGATGCTGTTTTTGTGAATCCCAGTGACATCAAATCTCCGGAGCTAGAAGAAACGGTCACAGTCACACAAGAGAGGAAGGATAAGCACGGGGGTGGAGCTTTGGGGACAAGGTGGATGGAACCATCCCATTTATGGGGGAGCTGGGTCCCATTTTGCCTATGTGTAGGGAGCGGCTATAGGGTCAAGCTTCAGATTGACCTGTGGCAGGACCACAAACAAGTCCCAGCTTGGAGGGCACAGCCCTCCTAGGTAGCTAATGGGCTGTGGGAGGTGCAGCAAGTGCTGCTAAAACAAGGTGAAACTCACAAGAGCATTGTAAACATGTTGACCACTTGCCTTGTTTTGCTTTGTGTGCTCTGACTATAAAATAAAGCTTCGGCTTGCAGGCTGGGTCTCTCTGTGTCAGAGATCCACCTACTCCAGCTATATTCTCTTTGTCTTTTCTGATCCTTCACCGCCCCCCGCTCAGGTTCACCCATGGCAGTGCTGGCGCGGCACATATGGCGCCCGAACAGGGACCTGAATTTGGGGGAACTGCAGTTGTCAGGTGCAAGGATGCTCCCGTGAGGCACGTGCAGAAAGCAAAAGTAGGGTAGGGAGCGAGGTTTGGTAGCAGCTAGGTGTAAAATGTGGGAAATTGAGGATCTCAGGAAAGGGACCTCTAAAACAATGCTCAATGAAGCAATTTTAAATTTCTTAAATTAAGACTGTCCAAATCTGAGGACTACAAAGAAAGAGCAGATCCTGAACCCTAGCCGTTCTGAACGCGGCATCTGGCACCCGAATAGGAATCTGGAGAAGAAGAGTCGCCTAAGCAAAAAATGAAGTGAAAAAGGAATGTTTAGATTTCAGCCAGGTTATAATGGGGCAGAATTCGAGTAAAAGGCAAAAACATCATTGTAAATTTTTAGCTTGCATGCTCAAGGATAAAGGAATTAAGGTGTCAAAAGGTCCTCTCTTAAATCAGGCTCAAGGAAAACGAGTGCCCTTGTCATCTTTAACTATGCGGGCTCTTGTTTGACTGCATTATGCCCACTTCGTATTGGGGATCAACAGTCTGTCACACCTAAGGCCCCGGACCCTCCGCCTCTGGTGGGGGAGGCTCCCCAGCTGGAGACAAGGGGCTAACAGTCGGTTCACAGAGGCTCTGACGCTCTGACAATCACCACCTGATGCCTCGAGACGGGCAGGTTTTAGCTAAAACAACTCTAGACACCAGTCAGTGCTGTGGAGAGCAGGATTGGGTGAGATCTGTGAACAACAGGCTGAGGTCTAGGCCGAATTCTGGCTGTAAGTCCCAGGCAATGTAAAGCATCGGAAAGATCCATGAAAAGAGCTCTGATTTATTAAGTTTTGTCTGTGTTATGCACGATTGTCTATTGATTATTGTTTTATCTGTCTTTTTTGTTTGGTTTAATTTGTTTATTGTTAGTCTATTAAGCATGCCTTTAACTTCACAGAAAAGAAACAGTAGGTGCCAGGCCATTACTAAATTTCCCCAGAGCAAACAGGATGTGGGGGTGGGGAGAGAGAATATGAGCGATACGTGTGGCCCATAACACAGGTTCTAGGAAAATTCTCTAGACCAGTGGTTCTCAACCTTCCTGATGCCACAACCCTTTAATACAGTTCCTCATGTTGTGGTGACCCCCAACCATAAAATTATTTTCGTTGCTACTTCATAACTGTAATTTTGCTACTGTTATGAATCGTAATGTATATATCTGATATGCAGGATGTATTTTCATTGTTACAAATTGAACATAATTAAAGCATAGCACAAAAACAATATGTAATTATATGTGTGTTTTCTTAGGCGACCCCTGTGAAAGGGTCGTTTGACCCCCAAAGGGGTCGAGACCCACAGGTTGAGAACCACTGCTCTAGACAAAGGGAGGTAACTAAAAAAGGCCCCAGCCATTAATTACTAGGTCTTTGGTGATCCTGTAAAATGGACGCCCACTCTCGGGAGTGTTATTAAAAGTCTCGTTTTCGCCATGTTTTTATTTCCCAGTTCGTCATTTGAAATTTGGATGAGACATTTCTCACAATTTAGGGATGCGTCTGGGATTTCTATATCCATGAAGAGAAAAAGGCTAGCTTAAGACAAGGTGCACCCCACCCGATTTTGGTGGCCTCATTCCAAGGTTGCCTCACAGGTCCCAGGGGCACTCCTGTTTTTATAAAGGAAAATAAAATAAAATAATACTTTAACATTAAAGCCACTCAAAGTCAGTAAGTCATCTCTGTTACAGAATTTGCCAAAGAAAATGCCTTGGGTAATAATAATTGGCTTTAAAATCTCAAAGTTGTTAAGGCAAAATATACATAACTAAAATGAAAGGTATATGGTAAATCTTTTTCAGTGGTAATTATATATGACTAAACATAGTTTTCAAAGTCTCTGGTAACTTAAAACTTTGGAGTTTGCTGAATTAAATAAAAAATATTAAATATCTAGGTATTTTGAAATAACAGAATACTGAAATATTAATCTGAGTTTCCTCGTATGAAAATTCTAGAGGATAGATTTGAATCTATCAATTGAATATGTCTTGTATTTTATTTGAAATATATCCTTAAAAATATAAATATATTACTAATCTGAGAAATGCTAAGTATTTAACTTGCCACCTAAAATTTGAGGCTTCTAAAAGTTAAAAGTTTAATTAAGTTGGGAGAAATTAATATGGTTGTAATAATGAAATGCATAAAGTATAGAAATTCATTTTTAAGAAAAATAATTCTTGTGTTTTCTCTGGAGAAATTAGTAGTTCAAAATATATTGTAGTACATGTGGTAAAATTTCAACCTAGGATATAATATTTTATTGGCCTGATTGAAAAAGAGGATTAATTCTATGGTCTAAACCAAATTTTTAATATTAAAACCAGTTTAAATTTAATTGATATCTTTTAAAAACAATTATAAAAAGTGTATAATACAATCTTTGGGTTATGTATATCTGATAATCTTTCCAAGTTAAATTTCAAGACTTTAACCGAGAGATAGCTTTGGGACATTTCAAGGGCCCTGGAATGAGTCAAGGATTTATTCTCTCTTCTTTTTTTTTTTTTTTTTAAATATATTTTATTGATTTTTTACAGAGAGGAAGGGAGAGAGATAGAGAGAAACATCGATCAGCTGCCTCTTGCACATCTCCTACTGGGGATGTGCCCGCAACCCAGGTACATGCCCTTGACCGGAATCGAACCTGGGACCTTTCAGTCCACAGGCCGACGCTCTATCCACTGAGCCAAACTGGTTTCGGCTATTCTCTCTTCTTAAAAGAAATATTTTTAAACTAAATTAGGCCGATCTAATATAATCGAAATCATGTGGGAAGCTTTATCAAATAAAAATTAATAACTGTGTTCTATTTATATACATATATTTTAAGTGTTATAAAGGTTTCAACCTCTGAGCTTGGCAGGACAAGGTTGCTGAATACTTCGTTGGCTTTTCACAATATAATCAAAGTCTTACATAAACTCAGGTATATAAGAAGCCAATATTTTATAAGCAATTGGTTCTAACAAAGTTCAAAGTAAAATTTGCATACATATGCAAATTAGCACTAGCCAAAAAAAATACAGTTTAAAAGTAAATTTAAGCTTAAAAAGAAGAAATTTTAAAATCTGTTCCGCTACTATTTACAAAGTAAACTAAAAGTTATTATTCAGGCATTAAATCTCACCATTAATGAGACACCATAAGTAAAAAGAAAGTTACTTTTACTTGAGATGCATGCATTGCAGTATTGTCCAGCATGTTTCTCTCCTACTTGTTTTTCTGAAAAGCAACCAAGTTGGTTGGTCTGTTTAAAAGAAAGTAAAAGTTTTTAAAAGAAACTGTTTAAATGTGGCTTAGAGAATGCTCTAAATACAGTGGGAAATGCCCTTCAAATACCTAGGAACTGTACTTAAAAATCAATGTATTAGGCCTCAAAAGGTAAGAAATATGAAAGGATTGCCTCAAGACCTTATATGACTTTTAGAAATTATTAGAGGATATTAGTTAAGACCTTATCTAAAAATCTCTAATTTCGTGGCGCGCATGTAACAGCAGTTTGCAACTATCTAAAAAACATAAATGCAGAAATCCAATTAGTGTCATTTACTGTCCACACCCAAGGACAAATGAAGTTAGAAGATAAACCTTATTTCAGGCTGATTTAAACTGGAAAATTGAAATAAGTGAATATTCAGGGGAAATCAGTTGTCACCTACTAAAATATAAGTTACTACAGTTTTTATATTACACCCCTATTATTATACCAAAAAATACTAGGCAGGAACCTATTCCTAGAGCATTAACTGTTTTACTGATGGTTCATCTAATGGTAAAGTGGCTTATCATGCAATGAATTCAGACCGAGTCATCCAGACCAGTCATACTTCTGTGCAAAGAATTGAATTAGAAGCTATCAAGGCTGCATTGCAGGATTTCCAAGAGCCTCTTAATATTATTTCTGATTCTGCCTATGCTGCTGGCCTGGTAAACAGAATTGAGACTGCTCGATTAAAATGACTCAGTGACACAAGCTGTCATTTCCAACAATTCTGTAAAAAATAGAAAATTCACCACATTACAGGACTACCATACAATTCCCAAGGACAGGCAATTACAGAACGCCAACATCAGTGGCTAAAATCCCAACTTGAAAAACAAAAAGGGGGAACAGTGGTGAAATCTCCTGTAAGTAAACTACACCAAACCTTAGTAACTTTAAATTTTTTCACTTGTAAACACTGATGGCAAGACACCTATGGAATTACACTGGTGTCAGAATAAACCAAAGGAAAATGGTTTGGTTAAATGGAAAGATCCTGAGTCTGGTTTATGGAAGGGTCCCGACCCCTTGTTAACCTTCGGTCGAGGATATGCTGGTGTATTTCCAGAAAACTCCTGCAAGCCCCTGTGGATTCCTGCAAGAAACATCAAACTCTGACATGAATCCACGGAGAAGGACTGAACAAATGAATTAGGACCTTGCACCGGGAGCCTCAACCTGTATCTGTGGCTGCAGACAATTGACTACTCCAGCCACAGATAGCAGTAGCCCCAAGCAACACCCTGAAGGAATGGGAGGAGAACGAGACAGAGGAGATGGAGAAGCGGCACCGGCGGCTGGAGGAGGCTCAGGGGACCCAGAGAAGCTTCTTGTCTCTACGTTCAAAAGACTGAGAATTGCGATGTGGATACACAAGGCACCGAGGTGCCAACATGGGGTCAGCTGAAGAAATTAATGACTGAAGTCCAGCAGATAGTAGAAAAGCAAGAAGTGGAAGCTACTTGCTCAACCATGTTTCTGGCTATGCTAGCATTGGTTAGCTGCAAGTCTTCTGTAAAGCCTTGCACAGCCAAGTCCGAGGACTCTGAGTAGATAACTTTCATTTTATAGCTGAAAATGTTAACATGTCTGTAGTTTGGTTTTTGCATTGGCATTGTTTTGTTATTTTTTTAATAGCCAGAGTTTTGTTCTTGATATTCAAGTTTTACTTTTATGGATATTATAGTAGGTTAAAAACAATAAAATGGGGAGATGTAGGGAGCGGCTATTGGGCCAAGCCTCGGACTGACCTGTGGCAGGGCCACAAACAAGTCCCAGCTTGGAGGGCAGAGCCCTCCTAGCATAATTCAGCTTGACCTTATAGTCCTCCCTCGTTCCTTCCTAAGTAGCTAATGGGCTGTGGGAGGTGCAGCAAGTGCTGCTAAAACAAGGTGAAACTCACAAGAGCATTGTAAACATGTTGACCACTTCTCTTGTTTTGCTTTGTGTGCTCTGACTATAAAATAAAGCTTCGGCTTGCAGGCTGGGTCTCTCTGTGTCAGAGATCCACCTACTCCAGCTGTATTCTCTTTGTCTTTTCTGATCCTTCACCGCCCCCCTCAGGTTCACCCATGGCAGTGCTGGCACGGCACACCTATGTACCTTCAAAACCCAGAGGACAGCCAGAGATTACCCAGTGGAATTTAAATCACCACATGTGCTTTTTGCCAAGTGTCCTACCAGAACAGAAATGCTACCCGATGACCAAGAACGCAGTGTGAGCTTTCCTGGCCATTGCTGTCTAGGCAGATGAGGATTTTCATTTAAAACCCCGGGGATTTGCCAAGACGGTCAGAGATGCCGAACTGTGTTGGCTCACCTGCTTGTTCCTCCCGGGCAGCAAGGACACCAGCTGGAAGACGGCGACCCTCCCGGAGGCTGTGCCTGCGGCCACCAGGTCATCAAAGCAGCTCAGCAGCTTCACCACCGTGATGGCTTCCGTTTTCCCCTGAAAGAGGAAACATGCCAACACCTGTCAGCAGGCGGCTTTCTGGAGAACATCCCGGCGGAGGGGACCCCGCACAGGCAGCAGCTCTTCTACTCCTGGGAAAGTGCACACGGTGCAGGGAGATGACGGAACCTGCTAAACCCTCCTTCCCATTTCAGGTTTGTAATCGTTGAAATGACAACATGAAAAACTGCATTTCTGATGAAGGAAATGCTGATCACCCAAGTGTAGCATGCTGAGAGGTCTCCACCCAGACAGGGGTCAGGTGTCAGGACGAGAAGAGCCGCCCAGGCCGAGCTCTGCTTCTCTGCGTGGCCCAGTCTCTCACACTGTGGGGGCCCAGTCGGCGAGACAGCACCTCCGCAGGAGCTTTAGAAATGACTTCTGGTGTGTTCTGGTTCTTAGATCAGTCATCAGCAATGACATTAACTCAGGCTTACCACAATGGTTACTAAGGAGCACGTGTCTCCTGCGCTGACACAGGCTTCCTGTCCACGTAAGTGATCATCTTCATCCTGAGACCATTCATTCAGAAAGTGACACCGGTTTTGACCTTGCTGCCATGGCGAGATCCCCAGTGCACCACTGTGACCCCACCGTGGTGATTTAGGTGGTGGTCAGCCGGTCAAACGGTACTGAGCTGGGTGCTATGGTAACATAAGCTAAAGTAGGTCGCGGTCACCCTTAAAGCTTTGCTGTGCAACATGCAACGCCGCCCACAGGCGGTGGGGAAGCTAATGACTAAGCTCAGCTCACGTTCCTCTGGCCCTTCAGGGCTTTCAGGGGTCCTGGGCTATCAATACCTTCGTGGCACAGGGTGCGGGTTTGGGTTGGAAACTGAAGGCAAGAAAGGAGGAGCCCTCGAAAAGTCCCGATTTTGTCAATGCGTCCGTCAGAGGGGATTCGGAGTGGGGTGCAGAGGGGGAGGGCCAGTCAGGAAGACCAGTGGAGAGCCTCAGGCTGGAGGTAGTATATGCCACCCCGAGAAGGGCAAACTGAACGGGCGGAGGCAGTGCCCTTGGTGAAGACAGGAGACCCTCTCCACACCCGCTGAGTGACAGCAGCAGCAGTGAGAACCGCACAGGTCTCTTGTGGGCTGAGCGTGTCCCAGCTGGTGAAGCACATGCAGTGTTGCCGCCTGCAGTCCTCAAACTACCACGTGGGTAGGTGCTGTCCTCACTGCCCGGAAGGTCAAGGGCTTGTCAAAGGCCCTGTGGCCTTGGGGTGCCTCCTGGAGGCCCTGCTCGCCTCGCTGCCTGGGCTTTCTCTGCAAGCGAGTCCACAGGCCCGGCAGCCAAGGCCGGAGGCTCGTGGAAGGAAGCGAGGGAAGGACCTGACCACCTGGAATGCAGGTGACATGACTGAGGTTCCATTAGCAGAATCCGTTGGTGCTGCTTCAAGGGGAGAAAGTGACAGGACGAGCACCAATGTTTTAGACATTATGGTTATTTTTTCCATCTTCCTAGTAATTCACTGTAATTTACAAAACTATCAATCAATAATGGTTTGGAAATTAAAAACAGAAAATTGGTTTGAGAGGCACTTAGAGAATACAATTCATGTACTAAAAATATGAAGTAGATCCTTATTTATATATATATGTTACATGAAAAAAAAGCAAATAGCAGAACAATATAAAGATATGATTCAATGTGTTTTTTATAAAAACACCAATCATAAATGTAATAGATTTTTTAAATTCTCTATTTTGGTTGTTAGTTCAGTTTGTTCATTGAATTCCACAAATGAGTGAAATCATAAGGTACTTGTCTTTCTCTGACTGGCTAATTTCACTTACCATCATGCTCTCCAGGGCCATCAATGCTGTGCAAAGGATAATATTTCTTCCTTTTCATAGCTGAGTAGTATTCCATTGTGGAAATGTATCACAGCTGTGTTCTCCACTCACCTACTGATGAGCACTGGGCTGCTTTCATAGACATGACAGTCTTGACGTGGTAGCAGGATGCTGGAAAGGGGCTATTTTCCCTGGGAGTTTGTGATTATAAAAAGCGCCACCAGCCCTGGCCAGTGTGGTTCAGCTGGTTGGAGTGTCGTCCTGTACACCAAAAGGTTGCAGGTTCACTTCCAGGTCGGGGCGGGTATGAGAGGCAACTGATGGATGTTTCTCTTTCTCTCTCTCTCTCTCTTCCTCTCCCTCTCTTTAAAATAAAAATAAGAAAAATAAGAAATAAAACCACCACATCAGGAATCAAAATTATTTACTGGAAATCTTACGTCTTAGCATAAATTTACAACAGTGTGTAATTTTTCCAAAAGGTTTCACAATAAAACTCGTCACGCCTTTGGGCTGGAAGCCTGAATATCTGTGTGTGATGCTCAGATACCTGCTCTAGTAAACCAATGTGCTAAGTCTAAGTTAATGTTATTTAATACAATCTTCTATATATATAAAAGGTTAATATGCAAAGTGTCCCCTCAGAGTTTGATCGAGTGCTATGACGTGTGCTGACCACCAGGGGAGGCGCAGAACACGGTGGGCAACCAGCAGCAGTGGCAGGTGCTGAGGGAGCGAGGGAAGGAGGAGGCGGGGAGGCGGGAGGCAGGGAACCTGATTGGCCCTGATCACCGGCCAGGCCGAGGGACCCTACCTGTTCATGAATTTTGTGCACCGGGCCTCCAGACATTAATAAGTGTTACAGTTCTTGAGTTAATAACCAAAACATCCCAAGAATCAGATTATCCACATTTAACTGCACTTCACATAGAAACAAAATATGAGGCTTCAACTAATGATCGTATCATCTAGCTATTCCAAAAAACATTTCTCTCTAAATATCTAGAAATGCTGAGTAAGATACATAAAAACATCCTTCTAAATTCATAGCTGATCTCTAAAAAGTAAAAACATTTACAGGAGCCAAAATCAAAGAGGATATTGCCAAACCAGGACAGAAGCCAGGCCTGAAGCTGCAGGCTTCCCTGGAATACCTGGCCGGCACCAGAACCTCGGGCTTCAGGTCAGATGAGGTAGAGACTGGAACCCATAACCCCTGCCAAAGCCGGAACCCCTGTGAATCCAGCCCTCAGAGGTGGGTGGACGAGGGGAACGGACTTGCTGGCAAAGGAGGCTGACAATGAACTCGGCCTTACCTCAGGCACTGATGGCAGTGAATAAAGAATCTTCCCTAAGAATCTGCAGTCACGAGCCTGCCCCACTCGGCATCAGAGTTTGAATTTTTCTTCCTTTCCACTGAAAAGAAACTCCGTGCCAGGCAATTTCACCGAAGCGCTTGCAGGTGAGAGCACACGGAGGTGCGTGGCAGAGTGAACGTAACCCCACCTGCGCCCCCAGGTCCCTCAGCATCTCGATGTGAGGATCAGCCATGTAATTAGGAACGGCCACAGGGAACGGCCCCTGAAGAAGAGTCAACTCCAGGAACATCCACCCCAAAGCACCTGTCAGAGGGGAGCTTTGTTCCCAGGCATGAGGTCGGCCCGCCTAGGTCCCGGCAGCACTGTCCCTGGCCGTGGTCTCAGAACGCGCATGTGGCGGACTGAGTGCCCACCGACAACGACCCCACAGCAGGAGAGGATGAGGTCAGGTCATTACCATGTGACACACAAAGTCAAAAGACACTGACGAACACTCTATTATATTTGAAGAGATCGAATATTTGAGGGTTACTTTTCATGACTGAAGCAGGATGCACAAAACCTTGCAGGGTATCCAAACACTAGGGCTAAAATCCACTATTAGTATCTCTTTCGGCAGTATTTCTGTTTCATAAAACCAATCTTTCATGTTAACACATTATTTAAAAATGGGAATTTCACTGCACTAACTTCATTAAACTCCAAGCGAGTCTGGTCTCTCACACCAGGCTACAATGAGGTGGGCCTCACCCGCATCACAGAGCTGCTGGTTCCGGTGAGATGGACAGTGAAGGGGTCAGCAGGAAGTGCTCACTGTCGGTTTTGCTGTGCTTGTGCGGGGACACCATAGTCGGGCTGCTCGCAGGGGCCTGACGGCCTGGGAAAAGGAGCAGGACCCACCAGCCGCGCCCAGCGTGTGGGCACCGACACCTGTGCAGGTGGTCTGGGAAGGATGTGGTCCACTCCACAGGGGAGAGCAGGGGAGGGCAAGCACGGTGCTGCCCGTAGGATGCCTCGTGGCATGGGACTGTCCTCGTTTTCATTTGAAAATGAGGAAATACGATCACATGAAAAGACCATTTACAACATAACCATACACTGCAGCGTGAAGGGTTATCATAGAACAAGCACCGCAATCCCATCTCGCTTGGGAAAGGGGAACATCTAGAACAACTCCGAAGCCCTCTGTGCCCCTCCCTGACTCACCCTCCCCCCACCCAGACTGGGCGAACCGCGGCCTCCGTGTCCTCACACACGGGAGGTGTGGCCCCCAGCCTCCCTGCCCCTACGCTCAATCTCCTTAGCTTCGCAGGGAGGCTGCCTCTCCATCACCAAACGCACAAGAAGTGCAAGTTTAAGCCAAATTACATTTTACAGTGGATGAAGTGGCGAACAAACCAGAATGCTCTGTAGGCACGAGCCATACATTCCTCCTCTACTCCAACGTACAAGGGCAGCAAGTTTTAGTCCAAAAGCTGCCTGACAAGCATGGAGCCATTTCTGATGAAACCACTGAAGCCTTGGAGCCAGCACGCCCAGGGGGTCACGGCGCCCAAAGGGAGCCCGGCCTATGCTGCAGCAGGCCACCCACTTCCTGTCACAGCCTCTCTGCTTCCGGGAAGGGGACAGCTAGTCTTATCCTGGCCTGGGCGCTGCCCTTCCGGCTCGGTCAGGAGCCTGCCCCTCAGACCTCATCTACTGTGTGGCCAGCTCCTGTTTCCCTCTTTTGCAACTTCCTCGGGGCACTTGTTGCCTCATTGTGACAACTTAACTTCCTCAAATAAAAGCCAATAATAAAAAAATTTAAAAAGTAATTTGACAGGAGCTGGGAATGGTTTCCCGGACAAACACCTTACCATTAGGACAGCCGGCAGCCCACTTAGGCTCCGGGCAGGCAGCTTTCCCTCCATGCAGAAGACAAAACTGCAGGGGGACAGACGTGCAGGGGGACAGCAGTGCAGGGGACAGACGTGCAGGGGGACAGGAGTGCAGGGGGGCAAGGAATTGCAGGCGGGGAAAGCAGTGCACGGGGGGACAGGAGTGCAGGGGGACAGGAGTACAGGGGGGACAGGAGTGCAGGGGGGGGCAGAGCAAGCGGAGGAAAGGACTGCGGGCACGTCCAATGGCCAACAGACCTGAATATTCTGAAATATTTAAGAGGACTCAAATAAGATACGAATTCATTAAATTTTTAAGAATTGTTTTACTGGTTTCCTTCTTTTACTAACAAGAACTACAGTTTAAAGTGTGAATACTTAGCCCGGTTGGCGTGGCTCAGTGGTTGAGCATCCACCTATGAACCAGGTCAGGGTTCGATTCCCAGTCAGGGCACATGCCTGGGGTTGTGGGCTCGATCCTCAGTGTGGCACATGCAGGAGGCAGCAGATCTAGGATTCTCTCTCATTGTTGATGTTTCTATCCCTCTCTCCCTCACCCTTCCTTTCTGAAATAAATAAAAATATCTATACACCAGTATATAAAAGCCTAAGCAACTGGATGATCAGTAGCTATGACGTGCACTGACCACCAGGGGGCATACGCTCAACGCAGGAGTGGAAACCACAGGCATGGAAACATGGAACAGACTGATGAATCTCAGAGGCAAGGGGGGAGGGGGGAAGAGATTAGTCAAAGATCTTATATGCATACTAGAGGCCCGGTGCACAGCCTGGCCTGAGGGGATCAGGCCGAAATTGGCTGACATCCCCTGAGGGGTCACGGATTGTGAGAGGGCACAGGCCAAGCCGAGGGACCCAAATAATGCATGGTATTAAAACAAATAAAACAAAAAACAAAGCGTGAATACTTATACAATGTTTAATGGCCTAAAGCAGTGGTCGCCAACCAGTGGTCCGTGAGGTCCTAAAGGTTGGCTACCACTGACCTAAAGGGAAACAAAGGACCTGCTTTTCTGGACTAAAGCCGTTCACTTCACTAGGAGCTCAGTTCTGACTCGTTAGACTCCCAGCTTGGTTCTGATCCAGTTAGACTCCCAGCTGGGTTCTGATCCCCGTTAGACTCCCAGCTCCGTGTGGCAGGTACCTGGCCTGTTTTGCGCTCTCCTGCACCCCCAGGACCTCGGATGGGCCTGGCACAGTGAGCGCTGGACACATGCTTACTGATGTGTGCACAGGACAGCAGGTGTGGCAAAGGGGCAGAAATGAGGACCAGCATGGCTGTGGATGGGCAAAGAGTTATGAAGGCAAAGCCATGAAATCTCAACAACCTGCTGAGTGCTAACAAGGGAGATCATACATTTAATTCCAAAACAGAAAATCAGAAACTCAGGACACGTTACCTTTCTGATTTATTCCTATGTATGTCACACAGTATGTTTAACAAGTTTATAACACTTTTGTACTTATTATTATCTCCTCACAACATTTCTCCGTGCTTCTGGCACTCACTAGCAAGAATTTCTGGTGTCGCCATCTGCTCTAACTAACTTGTGTAGAGAAAGAAAAGGTTTCCAAAAAGGATTATTCTTGAAAACACATGCCAGGCTCTGCTTATCATGTAAAAGGTCTGCTTTCTTCTTTAGGAACATACTTCATTTGAAAAAATGCTCTTTCAACCCAGCCAGTGTGGCTCTGAGGTTGAGCATCGTCCCATGAATCAAGAGGTCACCGGTTTGGTCAGGGCACGCGCTCCGGTTGCAGGCTTCATCCCCAGGAGGGGGAGTGCAGGAGGCAGCTGATTGATGTTTCTCTTACATCAATGTATCTATCTCTCTCTCCCTTCCTCTCTCTGAAATAAATAAAAATGTTTTTAAAAATATATTTTAAAAAATATATTAATATAAACTCTAGAGCCAGTCTGCCCAAGTTCAGACAATATTGCCACCATTCACTAACTCCTGACCTTGGGCAAGTCCCTTAACCTCTGTGGCTCAGTGTGTCCCTGGTAAAATGGGGATCAAAATAACACCCACCTCATAGAATTTTTCTGAGCATGTGATGAGTTAATACATATATGTAAAGGTTAAGTAATGCCTGGCATATAGTAAGTGCTACATGCATGCTAACCATTTTTGTTAGTTCAAATTGAGTATAGCCCTAGCTGGTTGGGCTCAGTGAATAGAGCGTCGGCCTGTGGACTAAAGGGTCCCGGGTTCAATTCTGGTGAAGGGCACAGGCCTGGGTTGCAGACTCAATCCCCATTAGGGGGTGTGCAGGGGGAAGCCGATCAATGATTTTCTCTCGTTATTGATGTTTCTATCTCTCTTGCCCTCTCCCTTCCTCTCTGAAATCAATAAAAATATTTTTTAAAAAAATCCTTCCTTCCTGCTAAGTATTAAACACTAAAACATTCTCTTTTAAAATGATGCTAGATTTTTCTGGAGGCAGGAAAAAAAATAAAAAACACAATGTTTTAATCTATAGCCCACCTCAATTAAAGATGATTTCAAAGTATTGTCTGGGTGAGAATCTAAGGCCATATGCTAGTAAGTGGGCAGTAAACTGTCCCACGCTGGAACTCACAAACAAGTAGACATCAGCCAGGGCTCAGGCACGGCGTGTAGAGGACAGCGGGACTCACCTCGAAGTTGTACTTCTTCATCCGGCTGAGGCGCCGGCAGTACAGGTAGAGCATGCCGGTGCTGCTGCCCACGGCAATGTAGTCCCCGCTGGTGTCGAGGGCTGTCAGGTAGACGGCCACAGAGCGGAAACCCTTCTGGATCTTCGTGGGAATGGCGTTGAGGAGATAATACAAAGGGCAGAACTCCCTGAACGTAACAGGCTCCGATGGGGACGCCATGGCCACGGTTCCCACGGCTGATCTTCAGGGAGGGAAAGGAGTGTTGACTTGGCATCTAGGGACACCTGGGGGCTAGAGAACAAAGAGAAGTCACGTTGGGTAGTGAGAACAGGAACTTTCAGGGGGGTAGGAATCAAGCTGGAGCCACACTAAACAGAGAAAGCAAGCCAGCTGTCATTCGGACCACTTGTTGTTTTTTGGAGCATTTTAATTCAAAATGCACTTCATTATGTACTGGCCCCTGTAATTTGCATTGTGATAAATACTGTGGAAGGGGTGGAAAGAATATTAAAAAGTTCTTATTCCCAAGTAGCTTATGATCTAGCCAGGGAGCCAAAGAAACTGAAAATATACAACTCCACACAGGCTTAGGTGTGCATCTGGGGTCTTGATGAGAAGAGGGAGAGGGGTGAGGTCAGTATGGGACAGGCTTTGCGGAAAACATCCTGAACGCTGATGTCTGCCAGGAGGGTGGAACGTGGAAGAAACAGGGGCGACTCTGCACGAGAATAGCGAACCAGCCCCACGCGGCAGCCGGCTGGGCAGCAGGCGGGCGGGAAGCCTGCAGGGCCTCTCACCCATTCCTCCCGGGGACCCAAACTTCTTGGCACTTTGGATTCAAAGCTTCCTTAGAGACTCAGTCCTTACACAGCATTACAATTTACAAAGTGACTCATTTAATCCTCACCCTCCCCTACAGGCCAGGTGGTGGCATCTTCCCCAACTTTATTTTTTATGTATTTTTTTAAATTGATTTCAGAGAGGACAGGAGAGGGAGAGAGAGACAGAAATATCAATGATGAGCTGCCGCCTGCAGGCCTCACACTGGGGATGGAGCCCACAACCCGGGCATGTGCCCTGACTGGGAACCCAACTGGGACCTCCTGGTTCAAAGGTCAACGCTCACCACTGAGCCACACTGGTGGGGCCGAACCCAACTTTAGATGAAGGTACAGAGGCCAGGGGCTCAAGACCAAGGGCTGGGACCGGAATCTAGGGCTGCCCTCCAAGTCCTTCCCTTCCCCAGGTCACAGGTACAGCTCTGACGGACCGGCAGCTACAGGTGGGCGCTGCGCACCTGACCAGGCTGGGGGGGCGTTTAACCCTTGGGCCCACGGAGACCTCAGGCCCTCGCCGAGGCGCCCGGGGTGCTGGGTCGCAGCCTGCTCCAGCGGTGGGTCCCTGGTGGGTCCCTCCGTCTGCGGAGCTGACCTGACCGACTGACTGCCAACCTCCAGCGACACTCGCCAGGGGCCCCGCCCGGCCCGCCTTCTCCCGGGATGCGCTCCTGGGTCACTCAGCCGCTGCTCCTGCTGCTCAACCCCCGGTCTCTGCGGAACGTCCCCTCCCGGCCCCCG